TACACTAAAACGTGAAAAGTCTGACAGCAGTCAACTTTGTGATCGGTTATAGCCAATCAATCCCCGCCAAAAAAAAAAAAATTCATTGTCACGGCTCTCGTTGTTTTTTTATGCGTGTGCTATTCCTGGCTAGCTTTGGCCACGGCCGGACGAAGAATGACACAGACGTCTACCGAGGCGGAGGAAAACGACCCCTTCGATGTACTACGCTTCGAGACAATGCGGTGGAAGAGGAGAACGACTCCTTTCGCTCCCCGCTTCAAGCCCGATAGGGAACTGCGACGTCGTTAGCGCAGCCCATCCGTGCAGATCGATGAGAACGAATCGGAGCGAGCATTTGCTCTTGCGTCCATCACTCGGGGAGTAACTGGGGAGAAGCTAATAAGGCTGCTCTCACGCTCAGTCAATATTCGGAAAGTTTTCTATTTTTATTTTTGGTATAAATACAGTAGATGGACGACGAGAATGAAAATTATGCTGCATCAGCAATGTCTCTCTTCTTATTCGCCCGCTGTGAACGGTTGCAGATTATATCTTTTTCTTGTTTCTCTCTCTCTCTCTCTGTTGAGATTGTTTCGTCGTGATTGTTTTGAAATGTTGAATTTTCTTTAATATTTGTCGACGCGATATCATTCTGATCTGGGCGTGTTCTTTTTATTGCGTTGGTGCGTAACGACTTTGTTCCGAAGTTCCTTCATCCGAAGAGTTCTATTCCAGGGAGAGTAAATGAAATTGTTATAGCAGAGAGAGAGAGAGGAAAAAAAAAAAGAATCCGGTTTTGTTTTTTGCATGTTTTTTCTCCCTCTCTCTCTCGAGGATGGGACAGTCACACTAGTCAGGAAATGTCATTACCCCTTCTTGAAAAAGTCGTTCCCAAAGGAATAATGGTATTAGATGTTCCCAGAGCGCCTTACACATTAAAACAATAACGCGAAGAACTTCATCAAATCATAGCCTTCTATTTATTGACTAAGCCTGCGAAATCGACGCGAAAACAGTAAACCACCCGGAGCCGTAAAAAAGGGAGAAAAAAGAGAGACCACATTCTTAGTGCCATGGAATGCGCCGCGGACATTCTGCGAAACTGGCCGTGTATGTTCACAAATATGTTCACAAACATGTTGCGCTTTGTGCCGCAGCTAATAGAAGGGAGTTTTAGGGAACCGTTTTTGCACAACCGATACGGTACGAACTGCGCATGCGCTAGCGCAGAAGACTCCCATATTCGCAGTTTGTACCGGACGGCCCATCGCACCGTATGGAATGTGCCAAAACGGTTCCCTAAAACTCCCTAATGATAGGATTCTATAGCGCATTAATAACAGGATTCTAGACCGCATTTATGTACCGATAATTTTATTAAAAAAAGCATTTGTCAATAGCAATTTAGTTGAAATTTGAATAACATATTCAGTGCTTACCTGCAAATCCGTGGTGTCACTGAGGATCACTCACACTGGTAATGCAGCCGTTGCGAGAATTCGTTTACCTAATGGAACTGGTCAACAGACAAACTGGTACCAACAACAATGATATTTATTGACTTTCAACCCTACGACAAATAAGGTCACCAGACTGACCCGGTACTCTCTGTACCCCTTCCTTCGGGAATAGGGCGACATATTGCAGGCCTCTGACGCCGCTACGATAGAAGCACACTCCCACATTCGTTCTTCTCAAAGTGAGCGTTGAAACCATGGCAAAAGTGAGAGAACCAGCTTTCCAGCGTTGTCGAAAGGCAGGGGTAAAAGAATCTCTCATGATACCAACAGAACAAATGAACGCCAACAGTTGAAAGCCACTCGTTAACAAAGGTAGGATATTGAATCCGGACTGCGGAGTTTGTGGCTGGCTACAAGGGGCGTCCCCCACACCAGAATTTACAGATATAATACACATACAGAGTACTATTCACGTAAAGATACAAAAATTAACGCTGATTTTTGTGAAGTAATAATACCATCAGGGTCTGCTAGTGCTTGCTTTGAGCTCTCAGTGACAACGGGTACGTCTTGTAGTAATTTTCGGTTCTTGGTTTATATCGGGGGTCGGCAACCTGGCACCCGCGAGGTAGTTTCATACGGCCCCCGTCACGACACCAGAGCCCCCTCCCCCCCTGCCGCTTCCTCAGTGCTCACACAGACTCGAGGACTGCACAGTTTGACACCAAATGGGGCTAGAGGAGCACTTCCCATTGACATTGACAAGGAGCACTTCCCATTGACATTGTCCGGCATCCTCATACTTCGGTAGAGAACGTCTTCGATCCCCCCCTCCCCCCCCCCCCCCCAACACACACACAGTTTTCAAATTGCCGTCTGCACCCCCCCCCCCCCCCCCCCCCCTTTATCGGCATTGTGACGACTCGGCCCGCCGCTGCAAAAGGTTACCGACCCTTGGTGTACATGAACATGTTGCATGCAGTGAGGTAGACACGACATATCCACCTTTTAGGCAGTTAAACAATGTGAACTGTTTAATTTTTTAGAAATTTTGATACCCTGATAATTATTTTCTCAAAACTGTTTCATAAATACCTTTTGAAAGTTCATGCCACTGAGCGCAGACCAGCTTGCGAATGTCAGTCAAGTTTGGTGGCTAAAGAGAATCTGCTACGCCTCAGTGGAGAACTGAGGATTCCTTTCGACCACCTGGGGAGGTGGTCGAAAGGAATCCTCAGCCTCCTCTGTTACCCGAATCTCGGTGACGTGGTGCCTTCTCCGCAATAAGCCTGCGTCTGATTGCGCACACCGCGGCCGGGATTCGAATCCGTCACCTGGGGACATGTAGGCCGGTGCTTTGCCTGGGAACAACCCAGCCGGCTATTGCTGGTAAAGGTGGAATATTACAAGCAAGAAACTGCGACAAAGGATGTTTACGTTACTGAAGTACATACTGCAGGTACTTTACTTCTCAACATATTAGTACAAACGTTTTTCGTTTGTCATAGGATATTCATTTAGCATTTCAAAGGAGTTAGTTTAACATTGAAAGAGCAATGCTTAAAAATTTCACTACGTGAGTTCCGCTGAAGTGCTTGAGCCCCTTGGTGCAAAATTTCTGCTCACAACACTGCCCAGACAATTTTATGGTTGTTTTGGCGGCGTAAATCCATAGAATTAACATGCTGAAGATATAAGGATAATTTGCTAGGCAAATGGTTTGTGCACTGCATCTGGACATTTGGTTTTGGTAAAAGGGGGCCATGTATTACCAAGTCGCAGTCAGAGTAACACCGATACCTTCAAGCTGATAGCAAGGATAGGAGCACTGTTTTCCTGACATAGAAAACCCACAACTTCCAAAATTGATATTGTTGGTCATATTACACTTTTTTTTGTAAAATCATTATTTTTGCTTATTGTGCGTTGCGTCCACCCACTTCGGAAAACCGTCACATATGTATGCATCCTAGTTAAAGCGGATACACAAATAAATAAAAAGGTTCAATATGTCATACAGGTGACATATAAAATTAAATACAAAATTGCTTGCTTTCCGATAAGCACTAAGTACAACTTCAATTATAACGACTACTAGATATAGATTACACAAAAATTGAAAAAAAGAAACCAAGGAATTTAAGTGGGTTGGAATATGGATCTAAGTTCAACGTTATTGAAGTCATTGAGGTATTGGAAATTTTCTTTCGTTCAATGCCGATTGTTCTCACATTCGATTTCAATGACAGTGACTCTGGAAGCATAATCATCGCTCACGATTTAAAATTTTTTTTCTGTTACTCTATTATTTTGACCCAGGAAATTATACATTTATCTATAATAAACTTTGATACTTTCGGACTGCCGCAGCGACTTTCGGCAAGTGAGAACACTGGAATCTATCCTATTTTTTCAAACTTGATTTTCTCTAACTTAACTGAGTTCACTTTTGTTAAATTTTTTATACCTGTACTTTCACTGCATGGTGTATTGGTGTTACATTGTTCAATGTCTCGCATCGTCTTGTCATTTTTGTTGCAATCATTTCAACGATGTTACGCTGTGCCCCTCCTACCAAGGCCAAGACTGGGCCAGGTAGTGATAATAAATGAATAATAAATAAACTTTACCAGATAAGATGTCGTAAAACTAACAATACGGTGGTTTATATAACACGAATATAACACTTCACCTTCCGTGCGATGCTTTCCTAGTCAGGCGATGCCACGACCAATGTTACTGGATCCAGGGAAAGTAGCGCCATTGCCTTCCCCGCCTGCTAGCCAGACACAAAAGGATACTAACATACAAACGACGAAACCTCGCAAGGTGATTAATTGATTGGTCTCAGTTGCCATGGAAACCGCCACTTTGGTTCATCCAAATCTTCGAAGCTTCGAAAGGGTCGTTCTTAACCAGTCGCACCGAAATTGCTATGGAGCAGCGTCGTACTGAAAGCGTTCCTCGCCAATATAAGGGTCCTAGGCGCTGTGCTTGAAATCCATTTATTAATCATGCTGATTTACATTGATCTGTGTAAATTATATTATTTTCTTTTCGTAGTTAAAGACAGATTTTTTGTTTTAATGCCGCCAAGCACCAGCGCCGCAAGTGGTGGCGAAGCGAAGATGTGCGCTTGTTTCGCCGGTGTCGGGATAACAAAATCCTGCTATTCCAGAAACGTCTTTATAAAGCTACCCGTCACCAGCGAATCTGATTCGGCTCACCAAGAATGAGGAGGTCAAAAAGAAACTTCTCATTTCATGAACCAAAATAACGGCCATGGGGAGTTTGAAGAAATCGTCCCAAGATCCAGTGACATTAGCCACGACCACCGTTCTTCCCTTAAAAGCCCTTTCAATATGCAGAACGTGTGTGTACGAAACATTGCCGACTGTTACTTCTCCCTTATTCGTGACGACGAAGTCCTTTGCACAAATACCTCGAAATGCGAGAGTAACCACGGAAAGCGCATGAAAAGGCTACTACATGTTACATTAGAACGTTAGCTGACCCGAGAACCCTCGTGGAAGGGGGAACGTCTTGTCACAGGCCCAGAAAGCAGGTACGCTGCAGTTTTTGTCAATACAACTTCACAACACACCACACGTCATGACGACTTGGAGAGCGACAGAAGTCACTGGTGCGAAGTCATGTGCCTGGTGAGGTGATGCCTCTCGCGGAAACTCTCGTGGCAAATGTGACAGCGCAGTTTGTCCTCCCGCCTTTTCTTAGCGGGATCAGTCTCACGCTTGTGGTGCGACCTCATGTGGTATACCAGGTCGCTAGTCATCCGGAAGCTGGTCTGACACTTGGCGCACCAGTTCTGCGATGGGAGCGAGAGTGCTGCTAGAGACGGCGGGAGATAAGGCAGCACGGGATAGCTACAGGACGTCGGAAGAAACCTCCTGGCCGCCGCAGCCGCCGCCGCGGCAGCGGCCGCTGCAGCGCTCGTCGCAGACGCCTTGTCGATGAGCTCTTCCTCGAGCTTTGAGTCCAAGAGCGATCCAAAGACAGGAAGCAACGGGAACTGACCGCAGATGGGACTTGAAGAGGGCAGTGAATAAGGGAAGGCGAACGGAAAGCCGCCGGCGATGGGAGACAATCCAGGAGACCTGTCCGTCTTGTCCACTTTCTTGAAGGCGCTCGAAGCCGGCGCGTTGTCTTCGTCCGACTTGCGCTTCTTGGTTGGCCGCTTGAAGGATAGGTCATCTGGCAGGGACGACGAGGACGAGTAGTCGAGAGCGGGAGACTTGGAGGAGTCCAGAGATACCCGCGCGGGGTTGCCTTTGAGGTCCAGGCTGGTGTCCGTCAGCGAGGCGATGTCGAAGCCCTTCACCCTCCTGGGCTCCGGTGTCAGGGCCGGCTTTCTGTTGGACCCGGGCTCGGCGCTCAGGTCGGGGCTCAATTCGGGACTAGGAGGCAGCAGCGAGGCGGCGGCGTGGTGCCGCGCTGGGCAGCGGTACATGAGGTGGGAGATGACTGGATGCGGATGTGAAAACAGGTCGCTGCACAGCGGACAGCGGTAGGTCTTTTCTCCCGCTGAAAAACCAAAACAAAAACAAAAAAAAAAAACACAATTAGTTATGTGCTTTTTTGCTTTGCTTTTCTCAGGCAGCACTGTGTAATCGTCTCAGCTGTGCAGTCGCTTCCGACATCACAAGCGAAAATAGGCAACATTTGCTACCATTCGCCAAAACACGTTGCTGCGATTCCTTCCCAAATCTGTAGTACCGGCGGCACAATTGGCTGCTTTCATTGACCATTTGGCAACAGTTAAATGGCATACGACTGTAATAACTAGGAAACAGTTGACTCACTGTTTAAAGTATGTTACCCCCCTCTCTCTTCTTCCTCCCTATTTTGGCAATACACTAATTTCCACCGAATTCCAGTCATATGACCAAGCGAGCGTTTGAGCGAGATTTCCACCTAAGTGAAAACGTTATGAGCACGTGACTGGCCGCGAGCAGCCAAAACATTCCGTTTTGCTTCCGTTGGGAGGAATTGAATAGGGTATTTTGAAGTCCTAAGGTGCAACCTACAGTCACAGCCACAATTAATGCGAGGGTGGATGAACGATCCTCAACTTCTTCGTATACTGAGAGCATCATGAATCAATGGTCGTGATGACGTATGCGTTTTGCCAGTCAAGAGCGGCAGAGAGCGAGATACGATAATATTGAAAAAGCGCAGGCAAGCCGGTGAACTAACTCCATAACGGAAAATCCGAGACTGGGAACAGACAAGAAATTACGTACGGGCCGAGTGAAGCCGAGTTTGTGTGATTGCCAGTTTTGTTATCTATTCCCAGTCTTTTTTTTTTTTTATTATGAAGCGAGATAAGGTGCGGAGGTTGACATGGCTGCCGCCCCGTAACGTCGCCGGTACCAAACGGTCGACAATCCTGTGTTCATATTTATACGAATCGCTACTCTAATTTTGATCTGATTACGCGCATCGGTGAGCGAGCGCGTGCGTGGCCGAGACTATCTCACTTGTTCGTTAAACAACTCGTTTCTCGGTTTATTTTTCTAGGAGATCGAGAGCACCTATTCATACGCACGTTCATCCAAACCAATTTGTCCCCTCACTTGCCGTCATTCCTTGTCTCGTCACATGGTGGTCAGCCAAATAGGCTTGTTGGATACCAGAAAGAGGTTGTTGACACAGTTTATTTTTCATCCGCCCGTTTTTCTTTAGACTACCTGTCTGTTGTGAGCAAGAAAACGCTAGCATGTGACTTGGTGATGAGCCTGTTCCTGACACCACTTTATAGAGCTGTCATTTGTCCCGGTGGCCACGATCTGTTAAAGCGGGTCAAGGGAATGTGTGTTCCTCCATCCGTTAAATCTTTCTTTTTTAAACTGCACACCAACACTCTGCCCGTTAAGGCATGGCTCAGGGAAAAAGGAATCTATGTGCCATGGTCGGTTGACTGTCTTGTATGTAAACAACCAGAAACCATCGAACACGTTTTTATTTTTTGCTGGGATGCAGTTTTTTTTGGGACGTCCTCCAACGCACACTGAAGAAACAGTTGTGCATTAGCCCATCCGGCATTCGCTTCTTGAACGTAACGAATGACAATGGTGTTCCATTTGATTTGGTTATGTTGCTTGGGTTGTGTAGCATATGGAGGTCGCGCATGGCGGTCCGCCACGCCGACCCCAATGCTAAAGAAGTGAGATATTACTTTTTCAGCCTCATTAGGCGAGTAGAAAATGTTCTTTCAAACCGTGAGCCGAAGCCCGACTGGCTAGGCATTTGTGAGCCTCTCCTTAAGATGAGAGGTTTCTAATGTGCTCTACAAAAAGTGTTGTAGACCATTTTTAACGTTTTGACTGTTTAAATTTTGCCTCTGCAATAAAAAAAAAAAGAAAAGGAAAAAAGCGCGTGCGTGGCCGAGTGGTTACCGCGCTTGAATTTTGTGCGGAGGCAAGGGTTCGATTCCTGGGAATTGTGCGTCTTTTATTTATTCTTTCAGTTTAATTTTCTAGTAAATTTAAGAACCCTGTTGGGCTTGTTCGAGGTACGAATGTTCGACGCGCCGAACTTTCTACTCCGATTGTTCTAGAAGCCAACGCGTGTACATAAGAAGATCCGCGCGCGAGCCGCAGTCAGTCTCGCTCCGGCGTTCGATCCGTCGGTTTCGCCGCCATCGACGCCTGCGACGCTAGCCTTTTTTTAATTTCGTTTTAGGCCCAAGTTCGCGCCATGAAACGTTTAGTTTGCTTCAGTTTTTGGTCGTCTCATCAATTGTGACAAAATCATGACAATATTACGTGTAGTATAAACCCAACATAGCAGGTTTTGGAACACGCTCTAACAAATTTAAAGGCTCCTGTTGCGTGCAAAGTTGAGAATATTAACGATCCTGTTTCGATGAACTTAGGACAAATGTCCATCTGAATCGGCATAATTGAAAATAAGTATAAACCTACGTAAGACTTCTAGATTGTACGCTATACCTCTAGGCAATACTGTGTGGTGAACGCCTCGATAATATTGTAAAAAAAAAAGAAATAATTAATCAAAGAGGCATTACGTACGACAGCGCACCTTTCAAGTATCAACATAGAAAGTTAATCGCACGCTCCAAGCACGAGCGTCACCTCACCATCAGTTAGGTAGGTTAGAGTATACATGCGAGATAGCGTTTCACAGAGGGAATCGAATGGCTGATAACATCAATGTACTACATTTTTTTCGTTGGTCTGCGTGTTCGTGATTTTATATTAAAATTCAGTCGCAATTCAGCGCTTGCAGTTGGTTTGCTTCTCCTAGTTCTCGTTCTAGCGCGCTGTTTTTTTCACTTTTAGCATTTTCAGATTGTTTAAACTTGTTAGATTAGTGGAAGGTCGGTTATCGGAAATGAAGGAAATGGCAACTGGGCTTTGCTTTCTCTTCCAAAGTTGTTGGCGTTTTTTTTGTTTTTTTTTTTGGTTTCTTGGTGGGGGGAGGGGGAAGGGGGTTTGTTTGCGATTTTCGTGTGCTCAGCCTGTACCAGCTAGAAAACGAGGCCCGCGCGTTACGTCCCTATTGGTGGATTCCAGGCCCGCCCCAACCGGGGAACGCACTGAAGCTCGGCAAGGGTATGCAGCAAGGCGGCAGACGCATGCATCTTGGTGTCGTCGTCTGCTAACAGTGCACTGCCGGCGCTGCGTGCACCCACTATTAGCGCCGAAATGTTTCGGTGGTGCCCCCTTACGGTTTTTATCCGTGACGTCACGACCAGGATTTGCCTCGCCCTGACGTCACGGGTTGTTACTCCGGCTACTTACCAACAGTTGCAATGACAAGTTTAATGGTGCGTTTAAAGAAAAGAAAAACACTGTGGAAGCTAAGGGTCATCGCATTTTGAGACTAGCACCATCGAAGTTGACAGTCTGAAAATGCTCTAATGCCCATGGTTTGGCCAATCGTGGAAATCTGACCGCATGCGACGCTTTTGGTCGCGCACGTTGCTATACCATTCAGCTCACTCGCAGGGTGTCTAGCGACCGGGAAAACCAGGAAAATCGGAAATTGTCTGGGGAATTTGAATAGCCGGGAAAAATCAGGGAACTGTCAGGAAAATTGTCAAAAAGTGAGCCCAGTCAGGGAAACTGAGCCGGAAACACCATTGAGTGCATTGAGCAGACTTGAGAGCTTGGGGGCAGAAAAATAGGCTATAAATTCTGCTTAGAGCGTATCGCGGGCTCTGCTCACTCGATGTAGAGTGTGCTACCCGATGGAAAGGGAACAGCCGACAAATCCAATCCAAGCCTTAGATTGGATTGTAGTCGCGACACTAGGCTAGATCCAGTTAGAGCTACAAGATTTAGTAACAAATGGTAAAGCCGCAGACCCCAATCCACGCCTTAAGCCGAAACTTTCTGAAAGTGTGAATCTGGCGGCCATGCTGCCATTCGGTTATTGAAGTGCGCGGTTGAGCGTCGCGTTTTTATCGTGTTTCCGAAAGTGTCCTTTTCACTGACCATGTCGGCGGCAAGAAAGTGCTAATTTAATTGGGATTAGACGAACCCGAATATTTCCGAATATGTAAACTGGATGAAGCCCGTGCAAAATGATCCTCTCAATGTTCAATGCCCTGTGTTGTAATGGTCTTATATATTTAATCGCCTTTACAGTGGTCAGAGAATTTTACCTGAAATTGTCAGGGAAAACCTGAAAAAGTCAGGGAATTCCAACATAATCATTTGCTAGACATCCTGGCTGAGACCAGAAGCTCCGCCTTCAGCGCGAGCTTTCTGCCCCCGCTAACGCAAGTGTAAACGCGCAGGCACGCGCGACCGAAGCACTGAGGAAGCCAGCGTTCACCCTTAAGCTGATACTTCTAGTATCAGCTTAAGGGTGAACGGGGTATATAATAGTCATCGACGAGGTGAGAACGCCGGGGAAGAGCTCCCGCTGTCACGCCTCCAGCGCGAGCTTGCTACCTTCGACAACGCTTAGGCGTGTCGTGCTCCTCGAACGCCCAGCCAAAGCACGGCGGAAGGCATGGAACGCGTGATGGAGGACGGGCGTTCGAAAGAAGAAGCGCCTTGCCGTTCTCATTTAATGATGACGTTAGACAAGGACAGGCTGCAATCCTCGTATTTTTTGATGGTATTGACTCGGCAGCATGCCAGACGTTGTCTTCTCACCGTGGCCGGTCCTCGAGGAAGGTGGGATGCTGGGCAGGCGCAGCAGGTCGGCCAGTTCCCTGCCGAACCAGGCGAGGAGCGGTTCTCCCGCCTGCAGACTCCGGGTGGCCCTGAGCTGGATCTGTCCTCCGTGGGCCACCACCTCCACGTTCTGCTCCTGGGAGTCCCGGGCCGGAGGCAGCTGGCACAGCCAGCGGCCGCGCTCCTCTTCGCCTTCGCGAGGCTCGGAAGCGCCGCGCCACGCCGTCAGAGCCTGCGCAGATTACGGATTCAACCGCTGTTTATTTGTACCCTTTTCCTCATAGATGGCGCAGAATGCTTCCGGAACAAACGAGTTGCATGTTCGCAGATGCGCATGCAGGTCTGGCACTCGAGGTGGGCTCGGGCCACTTCCCCGCTAAATCTAGCGGAACAATTTATCTGGGGTGTCACGTGACCCCCCCCCCCCCCCCCCCCGAGAACACGTGACCCTCAGTACCCTTCCTTCCTCCTCCTCAAGAGTTGGACTCTGATTCGGCGTTACAGGGAGTTGTAAACGGCTTTCATTTTTATTTGCAGTACACACTGTTTTACAAGCATACCATAAAAATTCATTTTATTTTTTATAAGTAGCAAGTCCAATTTCTCATATATTGGTGGTGTTTAAATCTTGCCATGTTGTAAGAGTGCCTTTTTGTATTCTTTATTAGGCCGTCAAAGACAAGGAAGCACCCTTTTACAACTGTTGGGGTGTCGCTGACCGCACTGCCCGCCCATATGATATCCATCAAAGAACCAGAAGCCATACTTTTCTGCTCAAAAGAGGGTGCATGCCGTAAAGTAACCAAGCAGTGATATGCGCAAACGGCATATTTTGTCAGCTGGACGGACCCTATCAGAGACCATGGGCATAATACAGGGAGGTCTAACATATTTTTTGTTGTTGTTTTGTTGGCTCAATATCTAAGTGTCCAAGCTGATCGCAGTAAATAATACCCAAGTTTTTGCACTGAGCGAAATACTTGCCCAACTAAACTGCAATTCATCTAATCAAATCAGAACAACATTTACTAACAACGCTCATATGTGTGACTATCGCATCTAATCAAATTACAGTGTTACTGTTGGCACCAGCATTATAAAAGTAGCCTGTATCGCGTGGCCTTCCATTGCACCTATGAAAAACACCGTAGCACGAGTGAGGTTAGAACTAGGTAGAAGCCCGAGCCGGAAAACGCACTTAAAAAAGAAAACCCCCCAAAAAAGTGTAGCGAAGCAAAATGTTGTCATGTCATTCCCCAAGGCAGATACGTACACTGCGCGTCACTGTTAACACGAACACGATAAAGGCGCTTTTATGTTCAGTTCATTTATTTTCCAGCAATTGATCGCGCTCACATTTTGTCGCTGAGATTAGTGCCACGAGCGCTTTCTTCTACGCCAATAGGTTGATGGCAGACCCTCAGACTTACAATGAAAAAAAAAAGAAAGAAACATGGTAGGGATTGTTTGCGCTAACGGTGTCGCGTAGTGTGCATAAACACCAAGGTTTATGCACACTAGGCGAAGTATATGAAAAAAAAAGACATCATTTCATCGAGAAAATAAAAAAAAGAAGAGTTATGAATGACGCACTCACGTTCGCTAATTTGCAGTGCCTAGATGCTTGAAGTAGCCTAACCAGATATCTGCTCGTTCGCGGATTGCTCGCATAGCAAATCTCACCCGCTGGCTTCGACAAGGCAGCACTTGATCCCACCGTTCAGAGGCCGCGAAAGGATTGTGGCCAGCGCTTTCCCGAAGCAGGCAGAGGTGCTCGACCACCGTGAAACGTTCCCTGGAGGGCGCCGTTTCAAATGAAGCACGCTCAGTCATCTTAGTGCAGCGAGGTTAATACTGGCCAAGCGCGCTCCCAGGCATGCATCCCAGTGCGAGCTCCCATTTCCCATTTCGAATTCCCTTCCAAAAGAAGAGCCTCTACTGAAACTTTACTGAAAGTGGAAAATGCTTCCTAAAACGGCGAGGAAAGCGGAGCTGTCGTTCCACGCTCAAATCCCAGAGCGGACTGCGCATGCGCAATGGCGACTCCGCTTTCCATGGAGCGGAGTGAGAGAGCGAAAAACGGTCTAGTCAAAATCTCAATTGTTTTCCACACTACAGCCGGTCAACGTTCTGAGAGTTTTGAAACTTTAATATTTTGTCGCAGAATAGCGCCACGGTATTAGAATTAAGGACCACAAATCAACCACGTGACAAAAAAAATGTAGGCAATATTGTCAAGGGTGGTGACCAATAAACAAGAAATAAAGAGGAATAAATAAACGTTTAATGTGGTGAGCTTGTGCCAAAAATAAAAGGGTATAAAAGATAATAACAGAGCGTCGCGGGCGTCGAAGTCGGCGTAGCAGCAGAGTCGAACGCTGGGGCGAAACTGACTCGGCAAGGTCGCGGGCGGCCTCCTATCTAGAGTGAGTCACTATCTCGAAGATTCGGCGGAGAAAGTTCGAGCGTAGCGCGCTCGGGGCGAGAATGAGCACGCACTTTCTGGAACAACAAAAGCAGGGATAAACGATAGAAGTTACGTCTGGAACAAGAATAAACGAGGACTTTCTAGAGGTTCGTGATCGAGCGTTGCTTTCTCAGCCCCTGCGCGCGGCATTATCGCCCCCCTTTAAAAGTGCATCGTCCCGATGCAACATAAAACACAAAGCCACAACAAAAGGATAGCAGAATCGTGAGTCACAGTTCACGGTTTGACGAGAGTTCAAAGTTCCATCGTTCGTAATACGGCTTGAGGCACAAAACGTGGACTACTTTGGGTCGTGGTTGGCGTCGTCTTGATGGTCTAGTTCCGTCGGGAAGAACCTCGTAGTTTAAGTCCCCGAGACGGCGAAGAACCTTGTAGAGTCCAAAGTAGCGCTTGAGAAGCTTCTCGCAGAGACCGCGGCGCCGTATTGGTGTCCAGACCCATACCCGGTCTCCGGGTTGAAAGTGGGCGTCACACCGGCGAAGATTGCTGGTCGACATGTTGGTGGTCTTGAATTCGTAGTTTGGATAGCTGGCGGACCTTTTCTGCCCGTTGAGCAACCACCTGGGCGTCATCGCTCCCGTCGTCGACTACTCGTGCGGCAACATAGAGTCTAGCATAGTCGTCACCGCCCGGCCATACACCAGCTGGAAGGGCGTCACTCCTGTGGTCTCTTGCACTGCTGTGTTGTAGGCGAACGTGACGTAGGGCAGCACTTCGTCCCAGGTCTTGTGCTCCACGTCGACGTACATAGAGACCATGTCGGCGATTGTTTTGTTGAGCCGCTCCGTCAACCCGTTGGTCTGCGGATGGTATGCCGTTGTTCGACGGTGTTTTCTGTGGCTTAGACGAAGGATCTCTTGGGTCAGCTGTGCCATGAACGATGACCCTCGGTCTGTGATCAGTACTTCGGGGGCGCCATGCCGGAGGACGATGGACTCGATGAAGAACTTGGCGACTTCGACAGCAGTCCCCGAAGGAAGGGCTTTCGTCTCGGCGTAACGAGTAAGATAATCGGTGGCGACGATTATCCAGCGGTTCCCCATCGTCGACGGTGGAAAAGGACCCAGCAAATCCATTCCAATTTGCTGGAAGGGCTTGGTTGGCGGGGTAGTCGGCTGGAGGAGACCTGCTGGCTTTGACGGCGGTTTCTTGCGTCGCTGGCACTCATGGCACGATCGTGTGTAGAGATGGACGGTCTTCGGAAGCTTTGACCAGTAGTACTTGTCACGAATCCGGGCAAGGGTCCTGCTGTAGCCGAGATGTCCGGCAGTTGGGTCGTCGTGGCACGCTTGAAAAATTTCTTCCGGGAGGCTGGCGGGGACAACCAGTAGCCAGGGAGTTTCGCTGGTTCCGAAATTCTTTCTGAAGAGCACGCCTCCCCGCAGGACAAAGCTCGGTAGGTCCCGAGAGAAGACCCGTGGGACAGAGCCTCCTCGAACTTCGAGGTGGTCGATCACGGAGCTAAGTTCCGCGTCGTCGCGTTGCAGTGCCTTCATGTCGGTAGCGTTAACTGCGCTTAGAAAACAGGAGTCGTCATCGTTGTCGGCGCCGGAGATTGGAGGTTCGACTGGAGCCCTAGACAAACAATCAGCGTCATTATGCTTGCGGCCGGACTTATGCACAATGGTTACGTCGAATTCCTGCAGTCGAAGGCTCCAGCGGGCGAGGCGTCCGGACGGATCCTTGAGGTTTGCGAGCCAGCAGAGGGCGTGGTGGTTTGTGACCACGCGAAACGGGATCCCATACAAGTACGGGCGGAACTTGGTTATCGCCCAGACGACAGCAAGACATTCTTTGTCGGTCGTTGAATAATTTTGTTCTGCCTTAGACAGCGTCCGGCTTGCGTAAGCGATTACTCTCTCTGCCCCTTCTTGTCGCTGAACGAGTACCGCACCGAGACCGGTATTGCTGGCGTACGTGTGGATTTCAGTCTCCGCCGACTGGTCAAAATGTCCGAGGATAGGGGGCGACTGGAGCCTTCACTTGAGTTCGCCGAACGCTTGCTCTTGCTCCTCTCCCCACTGGAACTGCACGTCGTCTTTCGTCAGATGCGTCAGAGGTGCAGAAATTTGCGCAAAGTCACGAACGAAACATCTGTAATAGGCGCACAGCCCAAGGAATCTTCGAACGGTCTTCTTGTCTGATGGCTTCGGGAACTCGGCGACAGCGGACGTCTTTGCGGGATCAGGGCTTACACCCTGAGCACTCACGACGTGGCCCAAGAATTTCAGCTCGCCATAGGCGAACCGACACTTGGAAGGCTTGAGGGTCAGCCCAGCAGCCTTGACGGCCTGTAGCACGGCTCGCAGTCGTCTCAGGTACTCGTCAAATTCACTTGCGAACACCACAACATCGTCGAGGTAGACGAGACAGCTTTGCCATTTCAAGCCGGCAAGGACGGCGTCCATAACGCGCTGGAAGGTTACCGGCGCTGTGAACAGCCCGAACGGCATTACTTTAAACTCATACAGTCCACCCGGCGTGACGAAGGCTGTCTTCTCACGATCTCGTTCGTCGATCTCAATCTGCCAGTACCCACTCTTCAAGTCCATCGACGAAAAGTATCGGGCGTGGCGCAGCCAGTCCAGGGTGTCGTCGATGCGTGGCAGTGGGTAGACGTCCTTTTTTGTTACGGCGTTCAGTCGGCGATAGTCCACGCAGAACTGAAGAGTACCGTCTTTCTTTTTCACTAGGACTACCGGTGAAGCCCACGGACTGCTTGAGGGCTGGACAATGCCGTCGTC